ACTGCCACTTACGCCTAAAGCTGGCACAGGACACCATCAAGCTGTACAGGTGTACAACACCACCTACTCACCTTATACCCCAATCACAGATCTTTCATGTCCTCCTATCACCTGAAAAACGTCCTAAAAGGCATACAGCATGCAGATAGCCCTCTGACCGCAAAAAGACAACCAAATGATTGGGATAAATTCAAGGCACTATCAGATTTGTTAGACACCGACCCGTTCGAACCCAGTACTAACTGCATAATCAAGACAGCAATGTACATAGCATTTTACGGGTTCTTAAGACCCAATGAATTCACGGTAAGTAGACTGTCTAGGAATCCAAGTTATATCAGAATAAGGGATCTACATAAACAAGGGGACTATGTAACTATGTACTATGTACTACAACTAAGACAATCTAAAACAAACCAGTTGGGCCCCCGACAGAGGTCCAATACTTTCCGACCCATAAGAAATGGTGCCCGGTGTCCGTATTGGATACCTTTTGCCTCTCCCTCACTGAACAACAAAGCTACTCACCCCTGTTCACAATATGATAAACCCCTGACCACTGCAACATTTGTATACTATGTGAGGCCCATGGCTGTTAGACTAGGTTACAACCCAATGTCAATCTCAAGGCACTCCTTTAGGATCGGCGCCACTTCAGCCGCATCCAGCAAAAACGTCCCCGTACACATCATTAAGAAATTAGGCAGGTGGAAATCAGCAGTTTCTGGCAAATACATTCCACAGCCACCCTGGATTCCACAGCCAGAAAGAGAACTTAGGAAAGCTTTCAAAGAATTGGTCATGTGAATAACAAGCATTAAAAGCATTATGTTTAAACCTTTTTGCCCTCATTATTTCAGGCCTATCCGATCGTTGGTTTAGGCACACCACAACCTATTATCAATCACAACCTATGACTTCAAATACGGCTTAATATCCCCTACTACAAATGTTAAGCTGGAGCCTGTAGTTGTGGGAGGGGTTAACTGGCCTATTTAAACCCAGACTTACCTCTAAGCAGGGCCAAGATCGAACGAACGCAAGCATCATTTCGGTTCCTTTCACTATGTTTGCACGTTTTAATCGTTCACCATGTTTCATACAAATCTTTCTAGTTAAGTTTGGTTGTGAAAAATGCGAACGATTGGGTAAGGGCATAGACTGTTTGCATGATTCTCCCCATTAACTGATGTTACTAATTCCTCTCTTACACAAATTCAGATGAATAGTAGATATACCTGTCATTTTGCTTCACGGTGCCCCCTACTGGTTACACATGTTTTTACAGGTCTACAAATACTTGGTGTATGATTATTGCTATTTAGATTGGTTACTTATGGTATATCATCATGCCATTTGAGCTGACATTTTTTGTCATCATGATGTTCTTCCCACAGGTGCGTAGCAGGAAGATTAGTCAAAAGAATTGTGCCTGCTTTGACAAACTTGTTCTTTTAGGTTTGTAATGTGGTTGAAGTTTGGCTTAATTAAATAAACCCACCTAAAATGGGTATCATAGCCATCTGGTACACTGGAATGTAATAATTAGAGTTGAGCTGACACCTGGATGTTCGGGTCCGGCAGTTTCAGCCGAACTTTGGAAAAGAAAAAGTCAATGGGCACAAACTTTCCTCTAAAACTTTTGGGCACAAAAATGCCTCTAAAAAACTCCTGGAAAGAGCTAGAGAACTTCAAAAGCAAGTAAAATGGGGGTAAGAGTAGGACAAGTGGTCTGCAAACAAATGTGGATAGGGAAATCACTTAAAATAACATAAAAATTAAAAATACAGCTGAGCCATAAAATAGCACTAGATGGAATCTTTGATTTTAGTTTTGGAAGAACATAAATCAAAATCTAAAGCATGGCTGTCAGGAGGATCACCAGAATTATCCATTTGAGAGATGGTTGGAGTGCAGGGTATTCTCTTTCATTGTTTAAATTGAGCTCAACATCTGATGCATGGAGAAAAGGCCTTCACAAGCCTCTGCTAATGTGTACCTAGTTTATACTAAGTGACCCATGGGTTGAGGAGGCGGTGACCGTGGCGGTGGAGGAGGAGGATGAGGTAGGCAACACTGTATTTTATGTTTTTTTTATTTTTATTGTGGTAGCCCACAAAATATTGGGACATACAAATAAAGAAACATTTGCGGCCTGCGGTGCATTTCTTGCAGTACTGATGCATGGAGAAATGCTCAACTCCTGATGCATGGAAAAAAAGGCCTTCACAAGCCTCTGCTAATGTGTACCTAGTTTATACTAAGTGACCCATAGGTTGAGGAGGCGATGACCGTGGCGGTGGAGGAGGAGGGTGAGGTAGCCAACAATGTATTTTATTAATTTTTTATTTTTTTTATTGTGGTAGCCCACAAAATATTGGGACGTACTAATAAAGAAACATTTGTGGCCTGCGGTGCATTTCTTGCAGTCCTGATGCATGGAGAAATGCTCAACTCCTGATGGAGAAAAGGCCTTCACAAGCCTCTGCTAATGTGTACCTAGTTTATACTAAGTGACCCATAGGTTGAGGAGGTGGTGACCATGGCAGTGGAGGAGGAGGATGAGGTAGCCAACACTGTATTTAAAAAAAAAAAAAAAAATTAATTGTGGTAGCCCACAAAATATTGGGACACACAAATAAAGAAACATTTGCGGCCTGCGGTGCATTTCTTGCAGTACTGATGCATGGAGAAATGCTCAACTCCTGATGCATGGAAAAAAAAGGCCTTCACAAGCCTCTGCTAATGTGCACCTAGTTTATACTAAGTGACCCATAGGTTGAGGAGGCGATGACCGTGGCGGTGGAGGAGGAGGGTGAGGTAGCCAACAATGTATTTTATAAAAATTTTTTTTTTTTTTTTATTGTGGTAGCCCACAAAATATTGGGACGTACTAATAAAGAAACATTTGCGGCCTGCGGTGCATTTCTTGCAGTCCTGATGCATGGAGAAATGCTCAACTCCTGATGCATGGAAATAAGGCCTTCACAAGACTCTGCTAATGTGTACCTAGTTTATACTAAGTGACCCATAGGTTGAGGAGGTGGTGACCATGGCAGTGGAGGAGGAGGATGAGGTAGCCAACACTGTATTTAAAAAAAAAAAATTTTTTTAATTGTGGTAGCCCACAAAATATTGGGACACACAAATAAAGAAACATTTGCGGCCTGCGGTGCATTTCTTGCAGTTCTGATGCATGGAGAAATGCTCAACTCCTGATGCATGGAAATAAGGCCTTCACAAGACTCTGCTAATGTGTACCTAGTTTATACTAAGTGACCCATAGTTTGAGGAGGCGATGACCGTGGCGGTGGAGGAGGAGGATGAGGTAGCCAACACTGTATTTAATTTTTTTATTATTTTTTTTAATTGTGGTTGCCCACAAAATATTGGGACATACAAATAAAGAAACATTTGCGGCCTGCGGTGCATTTCTTGCAGTCCTGATGCATGGAGAAATGCTCAACTCCTGATGCATTGAGAAAAGGCCTTCACAAGCCTCTGCTAATGTGTACCTAGTTTATACTAAGTGACCCATGGGTTGAGGAGGCAGTGGCGGTGGAGGAGGAGGATGAGGTAGCCAACACTGTATTTTATGTTTTGGTTTTTTTTTACATTGTAGTAGCCCACAAAATATTGGGACATACAAATAAAGAAACAGTGTGTGTATGGGGGCAGTGTGTGTGTATGGGTGAGCAGTGTGTGTATGGGTGTGCAGTGTGTGTATGGGGCAGTGTGTGTATGGGTGTGCAGTGTGTGTATGGGTGTGCAGTGTGTATGGGGGGCAGTGTGGGTATGGGTGTGCAGTGTGTGTATGGGGGGCACTGTGTGTGTGTGTGTGTGTGTGTGTGTGCAGTGTGTGTATGGGGTCAGTGTGTGTGTGTGGGTGTTCAATGTGTGTACAGGTGTGCAGTGTGTGTGTGTATGGGGGCAGTGTGTGTGTATGGGTGTGCAGTGTGTGTATGGGGGCAGTGTGTGTATGGGTGTGCAGTGTGTGTATGGGGGCAGTGTGGGTATGGGTGTGCAGTGTGTGTGGGGGCAGTGTATGTGTGTGTGTGTGTGTGCAGTGTGTGTATAGGGGCAGTGTGTGTATGGGTGTGCAGTGCGTGTATGGGGGCAGTGTGTGTATAGGGGCCAGTGTGTGTATGGGGGGCAGTGTGTGTGTATGGGTGTGCAGTGTGTGTGTATGGGTGTGCAGTGTGTGTATGGGGGGGCAGTGTGTGTATGGGGCAGTGTGTGTATGGGTGTGCAGTGTGTATGGGGGGCAGTGTGGGTATGGGTGTGCAGTGTGTGTGTATGGGTGTGCAGTGTGTGTATGGGGGGCAGTGTGGGTGTGCAGAGTTTGTGTATGGGGGGCAGTGTGTGTGCATGGGTGTGCAGTGTGTGTATGGCAGGGTGATGTGTGTATGGGGCAGTGTGTGTATGGGTGTGCAGTGTGTGTATGGGTGTGCAGTGTGTGTATGGGGGGCAGTGTGTGTGTATGGCTGTGCAGTGTGTGTATGGGGGTCAGTGTGTGTATGGGGGCAGTGTGTATGGGGGGCAGTGTGTGTGTATGGGGGGCAGTGTGTGTATGGGGACAGTGTTTGTGGGGTAGTGTGTATGGGGGACAGTGTTTGTATGGGGAGTGGAAGGAGGGATAGGAGGCTTTTTAATATTAAAAAAATGTATTTAATAAAATATATATATTTATGACATATTTTGTTCCCTGGTGGTCCAGTGGGATTCCCTGGTGGTCTGATGGGGAATCCCTGGTGGTCCCATTGGTGGTGAGGTGAACTCTAGCCCGCAGCTTCAGGGCTAGAGTTCACTATCGCGAGATTTGGAGTGTTGCCGTGGTAACCGCGGCAACGCTCAAAATGTCGCGAGAGGAGGACCCGGAGGAGCTGCAGGCTGAGCTCCCGGGTCCTCTCTCCTCCTTCTCCCTCCCCTGCCGGCTGTCAGCACAGTGCCAGTGATCTCTCTCCCCAGTCTGCAGGCACATAGCAGGGCTGGCACTTGGACAATGCCAGCCCTGCACTAGCCGGCAGGGGAGAATGTCGGGGGGGGGGCAATTGCCCCGTTGCCCCCTCCTGGATCTGCCAATGCCTTGGCGGTGACTTTGCATGCAGATGTCATCCATATCAACTTTCGATACCAGTTTCTGCGCCTACCATGGTGAACACGGGTAATGGGGAATCAGGGTTCCATTCCATACAGGAACCCTGAGAAAGGGCTACCACATGCAATGAAGGCAGCAGGCGCGCAAATGACCCACTCCCGACGCGGGAAGGTAGTGACGACAAATAACAATACAGGACTCTTTAGAGGCCCTGTAATTGTAATGAGTCCACTTGAAATCCTTTAACTCTGATCAATTGGAGGGAAGTCTGGTGCAGGGCACTGACCCGTGCGTGCTGCAGCTGAAACTCCACTATCGCCTCATGAGGCGGTGAGCGGGAAGGCCGAAGTTACGCTGCAGTGTAGACAGGCAAGCAGCAGCAGGGTGACAACACCAAAAGCGTGCACAGCCGCTACAGTGAATGTCACATCCTGTTCCAAGTTGCGGATCAGTCTGGTGATGGCTTCTAGTATCCAGTACAGTTTTTACTGAAGCTGCATCAGGGTCCTGGTATGTGGTCGCACAACCACTGGTGCTCAACACCAGGGGGTGTGCGGTTACCCTGCACCAGACCCTGCTAATCCATTCCACACTGTGACTCCTAACTTCAACATCAGACAGTGTCTGGGTCCTGGTTACTGGACTGTTATTAGACGCTTCTATTTGACTCTCAGATATGAAGAACAGGCCCCAAAATGTACTATTTAGCAGATTAGCAGCAAAACAATTAGAATGTTTACAAGTGTGAAGTAAGCACACTATTAGACGCTTCGATTTGACTCTCAGATATGAAGAACATGCCCCAAAATGTACTATTTAGCAGATTATCACCAAAACAATTAGAATGTTTACAATTGCGCTGTAACCGCAGTATTAGACGCTTCTATTTGACTCTAAGATTTGAAGAACAGGCCACAAAATGTACTATTTAGCAGATTAGCACCCAGAAAATAAGAATATTTACCACTGCGCAGTAAGCGCACTATTAGACATTTCGATTTGACTCTCAGATATGAAGAACAGGCCCCAAAATGTACTATTAAGCAGATTAGCACCCAGAAAATAAGAATGTTTACCACTGGGCAGTAAGCGCACTTTTAGACGCTTCTATTTGACTCTCAGATATGAAGAACAGGCCCCAAAATGTACTATTTAGCAGATTAGCAGCAAAACAATTAGAATTGCGCTGTAACCGCAGTATTAGACGCTTCTATTTGACTCTAAGATATGAAGAACAGGCCACAAAATTTACTATTTAGCAGATTAGCACCGAGAAAATAAGAATATTTACAACTGCGCAGTAAGCGCACTATTAGACACTTCGATTTGACTCTCAAATATGAAGAACAGGCCCCAAAATGTACTTTTTAGCAGATTAGCCCCCAGAAAATAAGAATATTTACCATTGCACAGTAAGCACACTGTTAGACGCTTCAATTTGACTCTCAGATATGAAGAACAGGCCCCAAAATGTACTATTTAGCAGTTTAGCACCAAAACAATTAGAATGTTTACAATTACGCTGTAACCGCAGTATTAGACACTTCTATTTGACTCTAACATATGAAGAACATTCCAAAAAATGTACTATTTAGCAGTTTAGCACCCAGAAAATAAGAATATTTACCACTGCGCAGTACGCGCACTATTAGACACTTCGATTTGACTCTCAGATATGAAGAACAGGCCGCAAAATTTACTATTTAGCAGATTAGCCCACAGAAAATAAGAATATTTACCACTGCACAGTAAGCGCACTATCAGACACTTCGATTTGACTCTCAGGTATGAAGAACAGGCCCCAAAATGTACTATTTAGCAGATTAGCAGCAAACAATTAGAATGTTTACAAGTGTGCAGTAAGCACAGTATTAGACGCTTCGATTTGACTCTCAGATATGAAGACCATACCACAAAATGTACTTGCCGGTATGCACACTGCAGAAAGCCACAGCAGTTGGCACCTGTGTTTTTCCAGCATGTGAGGTCTGCAAAGGACATATGGAAATTGTTTTAGAATTTCCTCCAGGCAACAGTTTTCCGTATAAACTGACCTCTCAGTTTGACTTGTGAGGGTATTGCCCCAGAATTACAATATTGTTGAAGTACCTCTTAGTTATTGATCACTGGTTTAAATATAGCAGCTTGTTATCTGGTAGTTTCTTTTTTTAAATTTTTTTTTATTCTTTATTTTCAATGACAGAAATTTCAGACATGAGAACAGTACTTGGGCTTATGCAAAAGCCAAAATTTGTGTTTTACAGTAGTTTCACAGTAATACAGAAAAGAGAGAATTAATTGTTAACTGGTAATGCAACTGTTCAGAGTTCTTCCTTGCGGTCTTGTTCTGTCAGAGTTTTTACATTTATATAGAAAACTAAACAGATTTAAGTGTTAACCTTAAACAACATAAAAATAGGATGTGTTGCCAACACTTTCATGTGTGGCGTATTTTTTTTTGTATAGATTCTTTTTATTTCATAGAAAAAGGAAGTGCATATGTGTGCCAATGACTGGGCCTGCGCAGAAGCCTCGAGAAAAGTGAATATATGGGTAATAGCTGGCTGACTTGCGCTGAAGCCACCAAGGGAGTGCATACATGTGTGTCAATGCTTTAGGCTTGCGCAGAAGTCGGGACAACAGTGCATATTCATGCCAGTACAGTGGCTTACGCAGAAGCCTCCTTGCATTTTCAATTGGTTCAGTTGCATCTTGGTGAGGGTGAGCAAGTCAAGGCAAGAGTCACGACTATGGTCACCGCTAATCTCGTCAGCGGTTAGTTTGTCATCTTTTGGTGTGCTGAGATAACTCTGTGTGGTTTGTCCGTGAGGTCTTGCCTTGAGTACACATGTCACTCCAATTAGCGTGATTTTGTACAGGTGTTAACTAAACATATCATAACCGGTAATCTAAAATCTAAAATCTAGTATTAAAGTGTTTTAAATGACTGCTCCTGAAGAGTGACACATATTGATGATCGGGCCGTGGCCTCCCAAATGTCCTGCCAGTCGGAGCCCTCTAATGTCTCCCCCAGGTCTGTCTCCCACTGGTCTGTGTATCGCAGCTCTCCCCATTCCTTGGCCTCCCCGCTAAGGTGGGTGTATAGTAGCGATATTAGTCCACTGGGGTGCTTTTCCTGGTAGCATATGTTTTCGAACCAGGTGAGTGGGAGAGAGGCCGTCTCCTTGACTTCTTTTGAGTTAGAAAAGTCACGTAATTGGAGGTAGCGGAAGAAATCTTTGGTGGTAAGGGGGGATTGTTCCCTGAGTTGGTCGTATGTGACTACGTGGCCATTGTTATAAAGGTGGCAATATCTCTGGATGCCTGCTCTCTCGAGTCCGCTAAAGTCGCCCGCTGTCATACCTGGTGGGAAGGATCGGTTCCTGAGTACCGGAGACATTGGCGAGGGGAACCTGCTTAGGGAGTATTTAGACGCTGTTAGATCCCAGATTCTTAGGGAGTTTGTTATTGCTGGGCAAGTCACTCTGGGGATTGCTCTATGTGTCCTGTGTAGCCAGGGTAGAATTGCGGTAGATCTTGCCCCATTAGTGAGGTTTCAAGTTCTACGCATCGACGCGTGTCCGGTGTGGAGTGCCAATATGCTATTTGCGCTGTCTGCGCTGCTAGATAGTAGAGGTACATGTTCGGTAGTCCCAGTCCCCCTCTGTCTTTGGGCCTATACAGGAGTTTCCTGGCTATTCTGGGTCGTTTCTTTTGCCAGATGAACCTATCTATTGCCTTTTGTAGTGTGGCTAAGTCGCTCCTTTTAACCTGTGTGGGCAGGGCCTGGAACATGAATAGTAACCTGGGTAGAATATTCATCTTAATTGAGTGGAGCCATCCTAGCCATGAAATGGGTTTGTCTGTCCACTGCTCTAGGTCTCTTAGGAGTGTGCGGAGCAGTGGGGAGTAGTTAGTGTTGTGTAGGAGTTCATGTTGTGCAGTAAGTTTGACCCCTAGATAGGGTATGTTATTAGCTGTGATGGGAAGTCGGTATCTGTCGTATATTGTGGTTTTATCTTGGGTCCGAATGTGGAATGGTAGTGCCATGGATTTGACCAGGTTCACTTTATAGCCCGCAAGAGATCCGTAATTGTCTAGGAGGTTGGTCAGATGTTCCATGGATGTCAAGGGGTCTGTGAGGGTCAGCAGCACGTCGTCCGCGTAAGCGGAGACTTTGAAGGATTTCCCTGCTACCCTTATTCCATGTATGTGTGGGTGTTGGCGTATGGCTAGTAGTAATAGGGAGATGGCGAAAAGCAGTGGGGATAGGGGGTAATCCTGGCGTGTACAGCTATGAAGGTGGAAGGGGGTCTTTGTGGCTCCTGCTATCAGGGTTTGGGCTCTCAGGTTAGTGTAGAGGGCTCGCGTGGCCTGGATGTAGGCCCCTGGGAAGCCCCATTCTTCCAGTAGGCCAAACAGATATGGCCATTGCACCCTGTCAAAGGCCTTCTCTGCGTCCAGGGAGATGGCCAGTGAAGGCTGTTCAGACTTTTGCATGTACCATGCGAGCACCACCCCCCTACGTGTGTTTTCATATAGTTGTCTACCGGGGATGAACCCCACTTGGTCCGGGTGGATTAAGTGTGTTAGCATCGGCGCCAGCCTGGTCGCCAGGATTTTTGCATATATTTTAAGGTCCGCGTTGATCAGCGATATGGGCCTGTAGTTTGATGTGAGCTCAGTGTCTTTCCCGGGTTTCGGGATGAGTGTAATGTTGGCTAGTGCCATGTCGGCATCAGGTGCGCCTCCAGTCATGAAGTGGTTATATAGGGAGGTGAGGTGGGGGGCTAGTTATTCCTTAAATTTTTTGTAGTACCCTACCGTCTGGGCCTGGGGCTTTGTTACCTTTCAGGATCGCTATAGCGGTTTCTACTTCTAATTGGGAGATGGGTTCTTGTAGGGTCATGTTGTCAATATCTGGTATCTGAGGTAGCTTGATGTTGGTGAGGAATGTTCATAGTGAGGAACGTATTTGTTCCGGTGTGTGTTGTGGGTGGTGGGCCTGCCCGTAGAGGTTTGAGTAAAACTCTGTGAATACTCTGTTGATATCTTGGGGGGTCGTCGCTAGTGTCTGGGTGGGTGTACGCAGTCTCGTGATGGGTTCGTGGTCCCCGCGGGGGCGCAGTGCTCTGGCTAGTAGGGAGTCCATTTTGTTTGATTTTTCGTAGAACAGCC